GGGGTCCCCCAAGGGACTAAACTTGGTCCAATATTGTTCCTCATTATGATTAATGATTTGAGAGTAAATTCCCCAGGCACGAAAATGTGGAAATTTGTAGACGATGTCTCATCCTCTGAAAATCTTACATCGAACAGCTTCTCGGTCACTCAGTCAACTCTTGATTCTATCGATTCATGGGCAACTTACAATTGTATGAAATTGAATGCCAAAAAGTGCAAAGAGCTCCGGGTTTCCTTCCTTAAAGAAACCCCGCAGCTACCATCTTTGACAATTGATGGTCACGTGGTAGAAACGGTACAATCGCACAAAGTGTTGGGTTTAATTATTCAAAACAATCTTAAATGGGACGAGCAAATTCGATCAATCGTCACCAAGGCCTCCAAACGGTTATACGGTCTTCGCGTATTATGCCGCGGTGGTGTCCCTCCTGCTGATCTTACCAACATATACTTCGCTCTTATTCGTTCTATTCTGGAATACTGTTGTGAGGTATGGAATTACGCGATACCTCGCTATCTGTCTGACGAACTGGAAAGAGTACAAAAGCGTGCCATGCGCATTATCTTTCCTGGCCACTCATACGACGAAGCTCTCCAATTGGCTAATTGCACAAGACTTAGCGACAGGCGAAACGAAACCTGTATAAATACTTTACAGAAGATTGCTAAACGAGCAGGTCCCCTTGTTGAACACGTGACACAATCCAGAGCTTGTGCTCAACAATATTATATTAGAAACTTAAATAATCTGTCATTGTATAAATGCAGAACTGAACGCTTTAAAAACAGTTTCTTTCCAAGAGCAATTGTTGAACTGAATGCCATGAAATAGAGAAAGGAACCTACCTTAGATTAAATTATTAAATTTTAACAATATTCTTAACTTATTCGATCTTAACTTATATATTAATAATATTCGTAACCTATTTTACCTTAAATTTTATGACCGTGTAAATAACTATAAACTAAATTTGACTTTGAATGTAAACACATTGTAATTCATTGTTTATGCGAAAATGTGTAATTAAACACCAAATAATAATAATAATAATAATATATATATATATATATATATATATATATATATATATATATATATATATATATATATATATATATATATATATATATATATATATATATTTTGTTCTTACAGTAATTATTCATAATTACTGTAAGAACAAAAATTACAAAAACAAAAAAAAATATTATTATTTTTATTTATTTTTATTTTTGTTTTTTTTTGTTTTTTTCATTTGTTTTTATTTTTGACATATAAACATAAATTACATTTATTTATTTATTTATTTTTTGTTTTGTTCTGTTTTTTTTATTATTTTTTTTTAATTTTTTTTTTATATGTTCTTATGTAATTATTGTGATGTTACTCTGAGTGTATATCCACACCGGGCAAGCTTGAAAAATATGCCTGGCCACGGTGAAAAATATGCCTGGCCACCGCGGGAAATTGATACCGCTTTCTGAAAAAAGGTATCAACTTCCCGCACGTAATACAAAATGACTGAAAAACGGCAAACTTCGCAAGGCTATATTATCCGCATTTTACAACATTTCGCAACGAAACTTCGGAATATTACTAATTTTGTGATGCTCTTTCAAGCTGTGATGAATTTTTTGTCTAGATTTGCCTAGATCAAAATTTTGTTCATTAGGTAACAGGTCCATTAAACAAAATACAATGTTCCAACTTTAAGCTGCGATAACGCTATAGATTCGTACGTTTTCTAATATAAAAATCTTTCAAATAAATCAATACATCTTAAACTGTAGACTGTATATATACCTGCATGCATGGATATGAAATCTCTGAACGAATGAGTTACAGTTCTTGCTTAGTTTGCTTCATCTTTGCCTTTGCAGGTTCTTGAAAATATGACGAAAAATATTGACTTTTAAATGAAGAAATAAAATCTGTGGTAAATGTTTTTGCATGTTGTAAAACATCAGAGATTTGGTTCCTCGCTGTCTTGAAATAAGGCTGCATTGTCTTGTTGATATGTTTGTAACTTGATTTGATCTTATCAACTGCTGGTTTAGCATACTCCATGGCTCTTTCTTCATAAAACGTCACATCTATTGTTCTTCCAGTGTATTTGGTATAACCAGTTACAACGAGACCAAGTATGCTCAAGATTAACAAAATCAAGAAAATGTTCATTGCCAGACGAAAACCAGGTAACCTGTAGAAGAGGATGGAAAAACTGCATTTGGGATTTATTAATAACGTTATATGCTGAATCTATTGATTCAAATTATATTTTCTGGGACTGAAATGCTACGCTTTCTCCTGTTGTCCTTCGTGAAAATTTTCTATGATCAATCGAGACCAACAGTCATATTACAGAATAGAGACCACACAGAAGTTCGGCGCCAATGAATTTGGTGGAACCGGTGCAATGCTGTCGCATGTTGCGCTTACCCTCTAAAAATATTTAAAATGGCGGATTTTCAGGGGGTTAAATGCTTCACGTATCAAGGCGTGGCGGCAGTAACGCTTTTTTGGCTGAGTCGGACTTCTGTATGGTCTCTACTCTGTGGTCATATGGTCCATTGACAAACGGTTTTATTATATACCAAGTGTCAAAGTTCATCATCTCATTTGACGAGAACGTATCACGTGAAAGTCACAAAATTCTACTGCCTCCTGGCAACAGTTCTGAACGGTGGCAGACTTTAGTTTTGCTAAATGTTATTGAACGGATGAAAAATGATACCTTTTTTCACCAGCTTCTGCATACCCATAAAAATATTTATATCTTGCGTACAGATAGATCAAACCTACCATTGATGGAATAGCTGTCAGAAAAGAAAACTTTAACGTTACTTCGGATTGCAACCTTTAAGATTCAGTGCCAGAAATTTCCAAACGAGGAACGAGCTGGCACATCAGCAGCATCGTGTCAAAACAACTCGAAAGCGAAACTGCAGTTTTTAATTAGCATGACAAAATTACTGGATGCTGATTGGTTGAGAGGAGTACAATTATTTCATTAATTGTACTGCAGTACAATTAATGATTTTCCCAAGACAAATAGAATGGCGGAAAGGTATTTTAAACACAAATGTGAAATGGAATTGCCCCAGAGGAACTAGATGAAAATACGAACAAAAGCACCAAACTTTGCTTTAACAAAAGAACTAAATGAAAATACGAACAAAAGCACCAAATTTTGGTTGAAAGTCTGGCAGGACTGAGCTTTGGTGAGAGAATATGATGTTCACATTGAGAAGTATCCAATTTTGTCATACTAATAATAAACAAGTAATCATGCGATGTTGCTCGTACAATTAGGGATTAATAGTACTCGTGATGTTTGGAAATTTGCCAAATTGGACTCGCCCAGCGGCTGGTCCAATTTTGGCAAAATTTCCAAACATCACGAGTACTATTAATCCCTAATTGTACGAGCAGCATCGCATGATTACCTACATTTATTCGTAAGATGATGTATTTGTGCACTTGTCCCCATTTTCACATGTTGCTGCATAAATTATGTACTGTACATAATTGTACGTATAGTATCGTGTATTACAAAGATCAACATACCATGATGAAGAAATATAGAGCTTATCCATAGCAGGGTCATAAATATTGGATAATATTCCAGCGTGTTTTGTCTAAAAACAGGAAAAAAGGAAACGGTCAAAAAATTATAAAGCCCGAAAGGAAGTTAAGAGTTGATGAGAACTATAATGAGTGTTGCAAATCTCGATCACGTTTGGACCACCAACTCTCCAGGTTAAGAGCCTGACTATTGTTGGCTTGCGTGGCTGCTACATGTACCCAATTGTACCCTCATCAACTCTAATCAATTTTGAGTTGACTCCAATTTTGATGAGAGTTGTTATCACGCACGAGAGTTGATGCAACAAAGCAACACTGCAGATTTTGACGCCACAAATGCCAGTACAGCAATACGAGATAAAAGTTGCCAAATTGCAGCAAAACGTTGTCATTTCGGAATACCTATTTGCATTTCGAAGAACGATAGCAATCAAAGAACTAAAACATTTGAGGAAATGACATTTATTTTCCCAATTAATGTCTTCAATATACATCGTGGCGATTATGGAATACCTCTCCTCGTCCTTTAGCGGTGTCCATTTTCTAGTAGCAAAAATCATTACACAGTCTATACAATACCTTATTTCTCCAGCTCGTGCAAATTGGAGGAAATTTAACAATCGGTGGATTTTTAAAACCACTTATTAATAGGGAGTTTAAGATCTTGACGACGAACTACCAACTACGTTTGAAATAGTTTTTGTTAACAAATTCATCTCAAATATGTTTTATGTGCATGGCTTTGTGTTCAGTAAGTTTCATCTTTTAACTTTCATCATTTCTTTATAAAAATAGGAAAATACTGTCCAACCAGCAACGTTGCGCAGTCAGTTTGGTGCTATATGTCCTTGATTCTGTTTTACAACACAAGAATGTGATTTTTACGCTGTAGAGTGTAGGCGTAGCCAAGGTCGCCACGGTGAAAAGTATGCTCTGCCTCTGGGGAGAAGTAAATTTTGTCTGACTGCCTCAGTTAAAGCAATGTGAAAATAACCGTATTCCGTAGCCGGCATCTTAAACTCTCTAATTTAAATCTACAGTCAGAATACAGTCACAAAATAAAGGCATGCAGAAGGTCGACTCGAGTAACCGCTACCACGCCATGATTCATCATCAAAATGCTGACGCCATGGGCCTAGCCAGTGCGCTTATGAGAGGCATTACCCCCCTGGACGTCCGCCATTTTGAATATTTTCGGGGAGTTGAATGCCTCTCAAACGCACACTGGCTAGGCTCATGTCGGCAGCATTTTTATGACGAAATACGGTAGGTTACGCCAAAATCATTGGAAAATCATGGGAACAACGAAGAAGTCGGGCTTCTGTGTAGTCTATTCTGTGATACAATGCTGCCCCATCCGTGTCAAAATATGCAGAAAAAAATGTATGACTTACTGTGCTCGGAATATTCTTGTAAAATTCGGGTCGCCATCAGTTTTTGGAACGGGGATCTATAAATGTTAATGGTAAACTCATGTGAAGAAAAAATTTGCCCCGTGATATTTTTCCAAGACGAAGCACTGGGCCGAGCAAGTTCTTTTTTTATGAACACGTATTGATCCCGCTGAAGCCCGGCGGCAGCATTTTTGTGCTCGCGAAGGAACGCTGATCAACTGGGGGCATCCGGAGGCATTCACCCCCGGGAAAATTTTGAAATCTAGAGTCCATGAAATGCGATTTCAAGCATTTTTGGGGTGAAATCTTGCAGAATTGCGGAGATTATAAAGTACATCGAAAACATGAATTTCCCCAGACATTTCTCCTAAATAAATTGGAAAAGTCACCTTGAAAAAAACAGGAGGAGGGGTCAGTGTCACCTTATTTCCTCTCTGTGATGCTGGGAGTGGGAGGAGAAAAATCCGATGTGATTTTGATCAGAAATGTTGCATTTAAATAATTTTAGGTTCTATGAGATACCATTCTTGCATTATCAAAAGTCTGGGAAGAAATATGCTATGATAATGCATACATGTATTTAACAGTTTAAAATCTAAACCAAATCCATTCTTCTTGGACCGATATCTACAATTGCTTAACGAGATTTTACAAATCAAGGTCGTTCAGTAAATCGTCGTGTTCCTCAGTTGAGACATACTTAGACTCTTAGTTTCAGCTTCGAGCATATAATGTGTACGTTTCCCCAATTTCTCTACGGATTTAGCCTATTTGAGAAAATGGTTTTTGCGGCGACTGGTTGGCAATCACGCATTGACATTGTTTCATGGACATTGTTACTTGCACAAAATAAAGGCTTGATATACAAGCGTTACAACAACAATTCAACCGTTTAATAAAATACATGATAGCGTTGGGAAAGCATTCTCAGTCTTAGTTTAGAACAGCTAACCAAGGTCGCGGGACTGCCTCTCATGCTCGTTTGATCTGGGCAGTTTATTATACTATGGAAAAGTTCATTATTGTGACGTAACATTCGGTGACAATTACAAGATAGTTTTCATAGTTACATGTACAAAGGTACAATCATGGTTTTTACACAAAGTATTTCTGACTGTCTCAACCGGCCATCCCATGTAGTGAACCATGCAGGGACCTTGGTTGGCCGGTTGGGAAAATATTTCCTTTTCACCAAGTGATGCAACTTGAACAATGAATTTACCGTCAACTCACTTACGTTTAAATATCTTCTATATCTTTGTTTAGTCATGCTGAGAATGACGGTAGCATATTGTACAAACAGAAATATATTCATGTAGTAAATTACCTTATACTTCCCCCGTGCTTCGCCGACTCTTCTTGTGAATCGTGCTGTCAATAAATATATAGAAGCTATTATATTTATTATTATAATCCTCAAAAAAATGTAAATACCAGATAAATAACTTGTACGGCTAGTATACTCTGCCGTGTAACCATTGTTTAACTTGTATTGAACATGGTTTCATCCAGTACATTGCTTATGGCTAGTAACCTAGTATGATTCATATGCATGGTGTCAAAATTAATATAGATACACTAGAAGTTATGGTACCAATCTAAATGTTAAAGTTTTCGTGAGTATAATATCATAAGCAGCAATTTATCATCAAGTGGTCTTAACCTAATGTTTGTAAAGTCAGTCTCAGTGTGGAGTCACGGAATATTTACAACACGCGAATGACGCGAACATCTATATAATTATATGGTAAATATATTGGTAAATATTAAAATAATATTTCCTTACCAAGCTGTAGAGCACCAATAAGGCTTACTAAGGCAGGATAGAAGAGGTTTTCTGTAGTTAATACAGTCATGTTTGAATATCGAGAACATTTACATTGAGATCAATATCATGCGTCTCAGCGTCACTGGAATTTTTGTCAGTAGGCGGTACATATTTCAAATGTAAACACAATACCGTAGGTTTAATATTTCATCTCAAAATAACACGTTGATGTTCTTTCGTATCACAATTTTCACCTTTCTCTTTGTAATAACATTGTCCTTCAAATCCAAGCATCCATGGCATGAAATTCAACGACAATGGATTTGTAACAATTTGAAATGGTCTCAAATTATACATAACCATAGAGACGACTTATTAATGAATTGAAATTACTGAGTAATGATTAAAGACAACCTTTGAATCGTTAAGTACTGCAGGAAATCGAAGACATGTATGCATCCTAAATTGTATTTTTTTAAAGAGAACACTACAACGGGTAGAGAGGTTAATTTCGATTTGTGAATTTAAGGTTACAGGACACCTTTTTTGGCGTTTTGCGGAAAATCGCTACTGCGCGCTCAATATCAGTCCGATTTTCATCAAATTTTCACCAAATGTTCTCCAGTGCATGCAAAATATGGTAAAGTTGTAAAATTAACAAACAATAAAATAATGTAAGAATTATTCAGGAAAATCTTAAATCGCGGTACCGTTACGCTTTTGAGTTATGTTCCTGCTGGTTTTAAGTTATATTTATGAAAATATCATTTTTATACAGTAAAATAGTTGTTCTAAAAAATCGTGTTCGGAAATGTTTGTTTATTTCGTCATTCCGCTGATATGGCGATTTCTTTGACGACTGCAATATATTTCTGAATTGTTTTAGTAAATTGCTCTTTATTTTTAAAATATTCAAAATTATAAAAAAGCCGAACACGATTTTGAAACTGACGTCTTTAGCTATGCCCTGTGAAAATTTGAGAAAAATTGGTTAAAACCCGCGGGAGCATAACTCGTTTGAAAATCAGTAATTACCGTAAAATTTTTCGGGAGAAAATTGAATTTGAATATTACATTTTCAATGTTTTTCTTATTGCAGGGAAATGTATTTTATTAAATAACTCTGCGAGTTTTCAACATTTTCCGTTCAAACTTGGTCAGATAGTAGAACTAGTCTAATGCTTTCATGGAAACCAATAAAAAAATTTTAGGCAAAATTAACACTCAAAGGTGTTCTGTAACCAGAGGAGGTCGGACAAGCAATTAGCGAGTTGTCACGTGAGCTCTCGACCAATGAGATCGCTCTATTTTCCATCGTGTTTTCTGCAGAATTTGGGCAGAAAAATTTGTATTCGACGGAAAATAAATCGAGAAAAAACATTAATATTAAAATTTTCTTGCAAAATTTCAAGTTTAATAGTACTACTGCTAAAGATCTGGTGATATCTGCAAAAATCTCTAAGGTAAACGTTGTTTTCAATGTTATTTTGATGTTTGAAGTTAGACGACTCCCCGCGACGTGTTGACTCAAGTCTAAATATGTTTACAATGTTTAAAATGAAATATCTAGAATTCTCATGGTTCGATTTTCCTCATTTTTGGCAGCCATCAAGAAAAATATATAAGCTTTAAATCTGCTGGAATGATCCCGGTGATCCCCCGGCAGTTTTCGAGATATTGGCCATTGAAGCGACTATTGTCAACTCGACGCTCGCTAAAATGGCGTCTAATACCTTGGAAAGAATTTGCGCCATCAAAGATTATATTTTCAACGAATTTTTGTTAAAGTGTTAAAATATTATTTAGAAGACTTAGGAGTTGTTTCAATATTTTTGTAGAATTTATATCTGTGCGATTTTCAAAGTTTTTTTTTGTCTTTGGCCGTCGCGACTGGATCGTGTACATATTCCCATACGAGCTGATCGCCTGATCCTGGGGTTTTTGTTGCAAATCGAGCTACGGAATCCTCATCATGGACAACTCAGTGTTATAACAGCCCATTTCAAACCAGCAGAGAGATCCACTTGTTTTAAAACAATAAAACAAGTTTTTATTGTATTTTTATTGTATTGTGGTCAATTTATTGAAATTTAATAAATATTATGCACGAGTCAATTCCAGGAGTAACCATCACCCCCCCCTCCCCCCCGGGAACACACCTGGGCATTTGATTTGACTGGTTACGATAGTGCACAGTTAATAGAAGAAGTGTGCCGGGACACAACTAGGAGTAGGAGACTAATGCACGGCCCTTGGGCAAGCTGAGAGTGGAAAATGCCCCACCCCTGGGACGATGAATGCATATCATAGGCATATTCATTTAATAACATTATACTATTAAGCTGCTATGGAATATTATAAAACTTTATTCGCATGGCACAGGTAATAAGTTTTGCAAAGGTGAAACCATTTGTCAAATCCCCGGGCCCAATACCCGGCCCCTGTACACGTACCCGGGCCCTGAATACCCGGCCCCTGTACACGTATATGACAGGTAAATTCTCGACCCCTGTGAACTGTCTATTAGGCAAATTCCCAGGGGTGTCCCGGGGGGATGGTTACTCGAGGAATTGACCTGTGCAATTATATAAATAGACATCTTCTTGTTTTATTGTTGCATTAATTTTAATCTGAAAAAATTACAAAACAAAGAAGGTCAAGTGCATGGATAAATTACTTATTTACTTACTAAAGCACATTTTTACAGTTATGTACTTATTTTGCATGAGTGTACATGACAGATTGTTTTAATTAGATATAGAAAGTTATCATTTATAACCCATGGTTTGTTTAAAAAATGCTGGAAAAAATCTAAAAAGTTAGCCAATTGAAATAAATGCACTTCAATAACTTGCTAAACATAGTTAGTTGCTATTATTTATATAAAAACATCTGTCAACATACACTCATGCTTTTCCTACCACTTAAGTCTCCCATGCACTAACCATGTCTCTGCAAAATGTTTTGGATAAAATCCTATTTTAACAAAGTCAATCCTATACTTGACATGCTGAACATATTAGACATCCACGACATCCCTTGCAGCAATTAATGGGTGCGGATACAGTGCATAGTTCAGAAGCAATATATAACCAACATGGGGCCATCCAGTTCCATAGTCTAGATCAATTGCTATTGCACTTGGGTCCCTTGGATTCAATGGCACTGGTTGATTTCTTCCAGCCTGGTTGATTTCTTCCTCCTCATCACTTAACTTGTCATCACTTTCTACCCTATCACCTCTTTCATTATCATATCCTTCCTGAACAGGCTCATGACCAGCCAACAACTCAAGTAAATCTCTTTCTACAAAATCATAACAAGAAAATTATTATTTCATGCACCGTCATCTCTAAAATTAGCAATCTTACACAATTAGCACTTTTTTCCATCCAGCAAACCGCCCTATCGATTTTCTAAAGTCGTTTTTTTTATTAATTCGGTTAGGGTTAGAGTTGCGGTTAGGGGTTAAAGTAGGGGTAGGGTTTAGGTTAGTTACATAGCCATTTAACACCTCTTCTATCTTCCTAAAATGACGTCAGGTCAGTTTGCTGGATGGAAAATAGTGCTAACCATAATAGAACAACACACAAACAATATTTAGATGAAAATTGAAAAATATTAAACTACAGTTTGCACATTTAAACAACCATCCACAACTAGATACAAACAGGCATCATACTCAGCAAAAATTTATAAAATACATACAAATAACAATACCCTTCAGACTCATGTGAAAACCAATGTCCATCATCAATTGTATTCGCTGTCAACTGATATGATCCACATCGAAATCCAAAAGCATATGCTGGATGTTTTCATTAGCAAACTGATCAGGAATAGGGTCAAACTAAAGGGTTGAATTTAATATTTGAAATATTACGCCATAATTTGTACAGTGTATTTATAAAATTACAGTACAATATTGAAAACAGCAAAGCGGAAATTTGAAACAAGTCAACTGTATTGCATTGTAGGATACCAACCTTAAATACTGCGCATGTTTTCACGATGATGATACACGGAGATTCCATCCAACTTAAAAAGAACAGCCTTGCTATTGGAAATAACACAATTCCTTCGCGGATTATTTATAAAGCTATAAAAAGACAGCACGTCCCATGCAATTTAGTATAAGGTAAAGTTGGTATAGTAACTCACACGTCATAATGAGGATCGCAACAATACAGCAATAACATGCTATTTTCACGAAGTATTGCAGCCTGACAATCTTGTCTTTCGAATGCTTTCATATTTGTTTACTCGGAGATGTTCACTCCACGACAGTCAAAGAGTCATTGAAGCCACGCCTGGAATTAGGCGCTCAAACCCATGATGCTTTGCGGCCTGCTTGTCCGACCTCCTCTGTTCTGTAACCTTAAGTGTGAATCTCTGTCGAGTGGCTCCAATAACATGCAGGGATAAAAGAATGATAACCCACCATGCCATGCCCATGGAGACCACGACAGACATGGCAATGTGTTCATCATAAACTATATAGTTTGCATAAATACTGGCTTTTAAACTAGTCAGAATATGAATATTTCCAGTAGAAATATGAATATTGGAGAGAGAAATTAATATGTAAGGCATTAAGTGGAACTCCGTTAATACGGCCAAGGGCAAGGACGGGTAAAACGTAGAAACCCCCCAGATTTTTTGCTCTTACTTAATAATAATAAGCGTTGGTATATGTGTAAATTTTCTGTGTTTTAATGGACTTTTGCACAGTTTAAATATAGAACTTCGTCTTCGTACAACTGCGTTGACTTGCTGCAATAACTCTTATATCCATTATACTATAAACTTAATATTTCCTCCACAATAAAATAATTTAATATGTAAAAACTACATGTTTGTGCATAACATTCATAAAGTTCACCTTTTCACAAATCTCTTTAGGACTATTTTTTAAATTATATACTGTACTGCAGTATATATTTATTAAACGACCTTGTAAGACGTTTTTATGACTTTCCCCGTATACGAGTTACACGGTTATTGTACACATTTTTATCAGCGACGTGATTTAACGTGATTTCTGACCTAACTGCATTCCGATACAGGATAACAGGAACATTGGAATATTTTCTATTTAGCCAGGGCCGTAGGAAGCTCTTTTCGATTGGGGGGGCTGAAAGTGAGGGCCGAAGGCCCGAGGAAATTTTTAAATTTAGAGTCTCTAAAATGCCATTTCCTGGACTTTGGGGGAAGATTTAACAGAATTCTGATAGTCAGAAAACAGCGTTTTAGTATGTCGAAATTTACAGGAAAGTATGGCCAGACTGTAGTATTATAAATGCGCGGCGGGAATTTTCGTCGTAAATGGCAGTTGCGCGGAAATGAAGGCAGAACATTTGAGAAAATTTCGAAAATCTGGAGTCTCTAGATGGTCTGAAATGGCATTTTCAGAGTTTTCTTTCGCAAGACCCAACACGCAAAAGACAAAATAAATCATTAGTTCATCAAAAATGTGCAGATTTTGTGGGATTTTCTTGAAAATGCGCGACAGAAATTCAGCTAAAATTTCTACGCGAGGAACGATCTGGAGTATGAGTAATATCTTCATTCTTTGCAGTTTGTCACAGATTAAATGATAAAGTTTGCATGATTTTGAAAAAGGAATGATTATTAGCAAATTATTGGGGGGGCTGCAGCCCCCCCAGCCCCCCGGTTGCTACGGCCCTGTTAGCACAAGCTATCATCCACTGGGCACTGACACAGACTCTATTTGAAGTTGCATATAGAAATCAATGTAAAAGTCGCACAATAGAACGTATCTGATGTACACTGTAACTGACGCAATGTTGGATGAACCCAACCTCGTACCCAGGATCTTTCTTTGGGAAAGACCCTGGCTGCGGCTGGTCACGTGTCTCATCAAAAATTTAGCGCCTGAGGGTGTGTGGGGAAAGTATCAAATTACATAAACATGCTTCCAGTGGAACATTCGTTAAAAACATAAATTTTGCGAATTATTACGTTCAAAATACTTGCTAATTTTTGTTTATTTTCTTTGCTTTGAATTTACAAGAACATTCTTACTTACAGTCAAGTCAAGAAACAAAGCAAATCGTTACTCGCAGTACGTGCTTTCTCGCGTTGTTATTCAATGCATGCTCTCTTCACAATCGAGCGCGGTTATAACAAACCTTTTAATATTGTAATGTTTTTAAAATACGCCATTACATTCGACTGTCCTTTCTTGTAAACGTTGATACGCTTTGTACCGATTCACTTGTTACTACGCGTCTTGTTTATAAGATTTTTAAAAGTAACAGTATTGTCTAGGACTGACCCAATATTAGGGGAAACGACAAAACGCGGACCCCAGGTCCATGGACGGGACTAGCTAACAGTCGTGGGTCGTGGGTCGTGGGTAGAATGTCGTGGGTCGTGGGTAGAATGTCGTGGGTCGTGGGTAAAAAGTCGTGGGTCGTGGGTAAAAAGTCGTAAGTCGTGGGTAAAAAGGCGTGGGTCGTGGGTAAAAAGGCGTGGGTCGTGGGTAAAAAGGCGTGGGTCGTAGGTAAAAAGGCGTGGGTCGTGGGTAAAAAGGCGTGGGTCGTAGGTAAAAAGGCGTGGGTCGTGGGTAAAAAGGCGTGGGTCGTGGGTAAAAAGGCATGGGTCGTGGGTAAAAAGGCGTGGGACGTGGGTAAAAAGGCGTGGGTCGTGGGTAAAAAATCGTGGGTCCCGAATAAAAAGTCGTGGGTTCCAAGCAAAATATTTCCATATATTTACCTTTCTCCCTTTGGAATGCGTGTTTATTTTTCTTCTGAGGCTTTCCCAAACTATGCCCAAATGTGCATAGCTTAGAGCGCGTTAAGGCCGGGTTTTTGATATCGGCAGATCCGTTTATAAATATTGTAACCAAGTGTGGATGAAACAGTTCAACTTCAAGCCCCATATAGCTCAAATATTTGGACGTTGTAATCTTATAGACAGATAAATATTGTAATTCTTCAATACGAAATAGTGCTGTCAAGCCTGTCATAAATGGCTAAATTCTGACATTCAGGGCTTCACTAATTTGTTGATCCATGTTCTTACAGTAATAAGCGAGAAATTTCCACTTGGACAGTGTTAATTTAATGCAATGTCTGTTAATTTACTAGGGAAAAATAAAAGAAAGCATTTGAGAGATTTCACTTAAATACATACCATGATGTATACATACCAGGAAGTAGTGAATCTAGTGTCAAATTTATCATGATGTGATTTGTATTTTCTAATGGCAAACATATAAGTTACAAATATACAGTCACATAGTGACACATACAGTATTTTGTAACATTCATGCTTTGACTTATCTTTCAGTAGGCTTTTGTCGAACTATTTTACCGTAGGTTTGATAACAGAGAGGTATACTTCTACATATTTCTTGAGCATCAAGTTTCAGCGAAGTCGGTGGCAAGTTGGAATTTGGAAATTTCACAGCGCTTATTTAATAACAGCCGGAGTAGCATTGTTTACATGCAAGGTTTGTTCCGTTTGTAGTTTGCGATATTTCAGAAATCGTTTAGGATAGACTTCAGCAGTTTTAAATAACCAGGGGCGGATTCAGACCGTTGCAACCGTAGCATATGCTACGGTCAGATTTTCCCTGAGATATATTTTTCCAGGTTGTACCTTTTTTAAAGTTATTAAAAACTAAAACGTTATACTATTTTTAATTGCCGTTATTTTCAATTTTTCATTGAAACTTGGTGCAATTTTTTTTAAATTTACTAAATGATATTGATACAATTTTATCGAGTTTTTATTTCATTTTGGATAATTAAATTCGGGTTTTTCTCAAATTTCCGCCCGAAATACAGCCTGTATTTGCGGGTTTTGCACTAGTACTATATCACATCGTTCTGAAGTCGTAGCATTTGCTTCATTGTGATTGGCTTGCTTCGTCTAACCGTAGCAAACCAATCATAGCGTTGTATTTGGAAATTTTTGCAGTGGTCAGATTGAAACTGACCGTTGCAAAAATTCGCAAATACGGCGTGCTGATTGGTTTGCTACGGTCAGACGAAGTAAGCCAATCAGAATGAGGCAAAATGCTACTGTTTGCAATAGTCGCATCGACTTCAGAGCGATGCTGGCTTGTTATTGTCGTGTCGGCTCCTCGTAATCGAAT